TGTACTCTTTCCACCCATTCTTCTTTACACACAACAGTTACTATTCTGAAGGAAATTTCAATAGATAAAACACAAGGTCATAGTGACTGGATTAGTTACCAGGAAAAAGAACGAACACCTCCAGAGCAGGAGACTTAAAAAATGCCAGAAGCAAGCTCTTCTACCCAACCCTAAGCTATGGAAAATGTGAGTTGAGTTGGAGACTTTTCTTCTTTGGAAAGAAGTAGGTTTTCATGAGCAGACTTTTTGTGTATGTATCCAGTTAGTAGACTTTGTTTTGGGCCTAGGCAATTTCTCTTTGTCTGTTCTCCCTGGAGAAAAAAATTCATGGGAGACCCTATAGATCCTTATCCCAAAGGACCAGGGAGTGTTCGCAGACTTTTCAGTACAGTCTGTATTTTCCTTTTTGTTGATGTAAAACTCTAGGATCAGCCAACATCAGACCTAGGACCTATAAAAGTTCAAATCTTTCTTTGGTTACTGTAACTCTAGGGGAAAATCCCAGGACAAAATGCCTCTAAAACCGAAATCAGTCAGAAGGAGAAGTAAAGTTAAGAAACCCGTTTATTTCTTACAAGCAGTCATCTCGTCTCTCTCTTGACCAGGCTGTAGCAGAAGAGAGCTCCACCCAACCTATCAGGTCCAGATAAACCCTAGCAGGGCCCTGTAATTACCTATTGATATGTAGGTGGACACTTCTCTCCACCCCTTGAAACACCTATTGACATGGAGATTAACTAAAGCTAGGCAGGAGATTCTGGAAATTGTGATTTTACCCATAGCTACAAATTTAAAACTTTCTTTTCTTCCCTTTGGGTTCTGAAAAGAGTCATGTATGGACTTCTGTCTCTTATTCCCACCTCTGGAACTGGATCATCATTGCAGTCCCAAACAGAAGCCTTCAATGGTGGTGGTGTGGTGGTTTAGTAAGGGTAGTTGTGGTATTTTAGGGCTCACATTCAGGAAGGGGTTTGTACCGCTACTACTGACACTGCTATTGCTCCCATTTTCACGGTTTTATAAGATGTATTATTCTGATATTCACAATATTATTTTTTGAGGATAGTATCTAACAAACATGTAGCAAGATTTAAGATACAGAATGGCGACAGGACCCATCATCTCACCAGGTTTTTAAATTTTTGTGTGTCAAATTGAATATAAAATCCCAAAGTATTAGGTCCTGGAATTCTCATTCTTTTTGTGTTGGTCAACAGGAGCAGTTCTACTCTAGTGGCCACAAGTAGAAAAAGGATGTTTGAGAATCAGACTATAGGAGCATGAGCAGAAGAGATATATAATGAAGCATCTCATGTTGCTTATTATTATAGGTGACCAAAAATCAGCATTCTAAGTGCAGGAACCGAGTTCATCCTGTTAAAATCAAGCACCAATAAAAAAAAAATTAGTACATTCCTTTGAGAAACATAATTACTGTCTGCTTGGAACACAGGTGTTTTCTGTTTCCTAGGGAGGAAAGCTATCACATACATTTTTTTGCCAATATCCTTTCAATGGGGGCATCCTGATAAAACCTTAAGATGATGCGGAGTGTAATAATCTTTTGGCTGGCTTTATTCTTCACCAGTAAGGCTTCTCAAAATAAAGAACTTGATGCAGAAAAGTCCTTCATTTGTTGGTTGATCCTTATCCTTTATTCTTGAGCAGTTTTTCAAACACTTGGAAGTAGCATGATTTGATCTTCGAAGCAGTTTGGAATTGAAATTTCATCACTTAACCATCATCACTTTTTTGCCGGGGGCCAATGCATGTAATCCCTTTTTGTTTATTTGCTTATCTATAATATATGAAAAATAGTCCCCTTGTAGTATTGTTGAGAATTGAATGGATAATGTGAGTTAAGTGCCTGACTCCAAGCACTCAAGAAGAATTAATCCCTTTGCCATTCCTTACCTCTCTGACTTGCCTATATAGATTGACAAAAATTTTGAGCTAAAAGTTGCTGATTTTCATTTGGCTACTGTAGTATGTACCAGGGGTTTTCATGCTTTGGAAACCTTGAACTTGGGATCTTTTTTATTATAGACCCTTCTCTACATATGAAGTTTTACCTTATGAACTTCTGTAGTTAGATGTGACAAAGCTTTGTGCCACAGCCTGAAGATTTACAAAACACCGATTTTCCTCCAAATATACTCTTAGAAACTAACTTATTTTGTAAGTAGATTTTCTTCTTCCTCTGAACTAGTCTGACTCTCATATAGCTTCATATTGCCTCAGATATGATGCTATTAATTTATATAGAAACATCATTTATTATCAAGTTGTGTGCTAGACACTTTACTACATCATCTCAGTGTACCATAAAAATAACAACCTTGTAAGTCAGACATTATTTTCCTCATTTTACAGATGAAGAAAATGAAGCAGAGAGGTCATATTAGTTATCTTGGAACACATAGCTATGAACGATAGCATCAGTTAAGAGGCTGAATTAGGCTGGAGTAACTTAAAACCCCAAAATCAGAGTGACATAACCCAATAAAGGTTTATGCCTTGCTCACTCTATCTGTGTAGGAGGATTGCTGGGGTGACCTCTGCTTATTTCAGTCATGCACCCCGGCTGATGGAGACACCATGTTCTGCTCTCATTAAGGAAGAAATGGGGATATAGTGAATCATGCACCACTTTGAAACTTCTGCCTAGAAGTGACTCACTTTTTCATGCTCACATTTCATTAACCAAAGCAAGTTACATGGCTATGCCTAACTTCAAAAGGGGCTAGAAAATGCAGTGTAATTATGGACCAAGAAAAGGAAGACTGGTGTATTTGTGAGCAGCCCTGTTATGAGCATGGATTTGGAGTGGGGATCTAATTCACATCTGTCTATCTCCAAAGCTCATTCTCCTAATTACCTCAGAAAATTGATAGGATCTTATCTTTGGGAGATAAATGTTGGAGGCCCTTAACCATAGGAATATTTGTATTCTAGCTATGAAGGATCTAATAAATGCCTGAAAATAGCACACAGAATGTTCCACTGTCTTAATCAGACTATAGGAGCATGAGCAGAAGAGATATATAATGAAGCATCTCATGTTGCTTATTATTATAGGTGACCAAAAATCAGCATTCTAAGTGCAGGAACCGAGTTCATCCTGTTAAAATCAAGCACCAATAAAAAAAAAATTAGTACATTCCTTTGAGAAACATAATTACTGTCTGCTTGGAACACAGGTGTTTTCTGTTTCCTAGGGAGGAAAGCTATCACATACATTTTTTTGCCAATATCCTTTCAATGGGGGCATCCTGATAAAACCTTAAGATGATGCGGAGTGTAATAATCTTTTGGCTGGCTTTATTCTTCACCAGTAAGGCTTCTCAAAATAAAGAACTTGATGCAGAAAAGTCCTTCATTTGTTGGTTGATCCTTATCCTTTATTCTTGAGCAGTTTTTCAAACACTTGGAAGTAGCATGATTTGATCTTCGAAGCAGTTTGGAATTGAAATTTCATCACTTAACCATCATCACTTTTTTGCCGGGGGCCAATGCATGTAATCCCTTTTTGTTTATTTGCTTATCTATAATATATGAAAAATAGTCCCCTTGTAGTATTGTTGAGAATTGAATGGATAATGTGAGTTAAGTGCCTGACTCCAAGCACTCAAGAAGAATTAATCCCTTTGCCATTCCTTACCTCTCTGACTTGCCTATATAGATTGACAAAAATTTTGAGCTAAAAGTTGCTGATTTTCATTTGGCTACTGTAGTATGTACCAGGGGTTTTCATGCTTTGGAAACCTTGAACTTGGGATCTTTTTTATTATAGACCCTTCTCTACATATGAAGTTTTACCTTATGAACTTCTGTAGTTAGATGTGACAAAGCTTTGTGCCACAGCCTGAAGATTTACAAAACACCGATTTTCCTCCAAATATACTCTTAGAAACTAACTTATTTTGTAAGTAGATTTTCTTCTTCCTCTGAACTAGTCTGACTCTCATATAGCTTCATATTGCCTCAGATATGATGCTATTAATTTATATAGAAACATCATTTATTATCAAGTTGTGTGCTAGACACTTTACTACATCATCTCAGTGTACCATAAAAATAACAACCTTGTAAGTCAGACATTATTTTCCTCATTTTACAGATGAAGAAAATGAAGCAGAGAGGTCATATTAGTTATCTTGGAACACATAGCTATGAACGATAGCATCAGTTAAGAGGCTGAATTAGGCTGGAGTAACTTAAAACCCCAAAATCAGAGTGACATAACCCAATAAAGGTTTATGCCTTGCTCACTCTATCTGTGTAGGAGGATTGCTGGGGTGACCTCTGCTTATTTCAGTCATGCACCCCAGCTGATGGAGACACCATGTTCTGCTCTCATTAAGGAAGAAATGGGGATGTAGTGAATCATGCACCACTTTGAAACTTCTGCCTAGAAGTGACTCACTTTTTCATGCTCACATTTCATTAACCAAAGCAAGTTACATGGCTATGCCTAACTTCAAAAGGGGCTAGAAAATGCAGTGTAATTATGGACCAAGAAAAGGAAGACTGGTGTATTTGTGAGCAGCCCTGTTATGAGCATGGATTTGGAGTGGGGATCTAATTCACATCTGTCTATCTCCAAAGCTCATTCTCCTAATTACCTCAGAAAATTGATAGGATCTTATCTTTGGGAGATAAATGTTGGAGGCCCTTAACCATAGGAATATTTGTATTCTAGCTATGAAGGATCTAATAAATGCCTGAAAATAGCACACAGAATGTTCCACTGTCTCAGTCTGTATAGAGTTCCAGATATATTTCCTACATATGATCTTTCTGAGTCCAATCAGTCCACTATATTGACTCTGTAAAGTAATATATAGTCATTTGCACGTTTCCTCTCTTATTGAAGAAATGAAGACATTAAAAGAAGTTATGAGAACATTTCTGTCATAATGTCGTTACTAGGTCAGTGAAATTGTTTCTAGTAAAGAGCCCTTACTACAGTGGTTGAACCATACAGGGGTTTCTTTTTCTCTTATGATTAAGAGATATTGAGGGGAGCAGAATAGGGATGGGGAAGCATCAGGAACCCGATTTCTTCTTTGGCCCATCAGTGTATGTATTTGACTTTAATCTTCATGTTTATTGTCCTGTAGTCACAAGCTGGTTATCCCATGTCTATCAGTCGTATTCCAGGCAGGAAGAAAGGGTAAAAGCCTATGCCTGCTAAATCTGTCCCATTTTAAAGAGGATCTCTGAAAACCCCACCCAAGGATTTCCACTTACATCTCATTGGGCTAGACTGTGTCATTAGCTAAGTAATATTAATAGCGAGACACATTGCCACCTTGAATAAAATTTTGGATCTTTCTTTTTAATAAGGGAGAAAAGAATGGATATGGAGAAATAACTTCCCGTGACTGCAATTTATGAGTTCATTGTAAATTAAAGCTATTAAAACCTCTGCTACCACTTATATCATATATATAGGGGAATAAGTTTTCACACAGACATTGTCATGCTTTTTATTTGTTGTTATTTATTTATTTTTTTAACAATCTGCTCTATCAAGTTTTTGCTATTGTTTAAAAGATTTAGATTGGGGTCTTAGACCCAAACAAAGAATCTGACTCAAAATATGTTTAAAATACTGGCATAGTGATTTTGTTTTTATTTTTATTTTTCAATATTTGAAATTGAATCACTTTAGGACATATGCTCCAGTTGTTTTATAATCTCCATCCTTCTCTGTTATTTTGTGGGTACATCCAGGTCACATGTTTAAGTTGTATGGCTGTTCCTGTAGGTGTTTCAAGTCAGATGGTCTGTATATAGGTTAAATATTTCAAATGCATCAAAACCTGGATATCTAACTAGTAAGTGATCCATGGCTAGAGAATTAGTAAACCACTTCCCCATTGCTGCCATCATCTAGTTATTTTCAGCTAATAGATAAGTTTGCACCAGTCTGTGATTGAAATCGGAGTAACTAACTTATATTTAAAGGTCCCTTTTAGTCAGCTTGTTACATATTAAATTATTATAGTGACAACAAGTTTTTGTGGTGTTTGATTATATTAATGTATTAAACTAAATTCAGACTTTATCACTATATGGAAAATCAGTGTTTGTATCTTTTTAATGGAATTTCTTCATGGTATATAAGGTGTTAATTTAAAGAAATTTTATTTATTTAGAAATCATAGAACAATTAGCCTGTTGCTTTTCATAGTTACAAGCTAATAATAGTAAAAAAGAAACAATAACCCCAGCTCTGAAGAAAAAAATCTGGTTAGAGTATCATGAATTGTCACAGTTTCTTAGTATTTTTTTTTATCTTAACAGATTTTGCTTCGCCCTCTTCAAGCTTTATGCTCTTTCCAGCTTCAGCATGGTGCTCAAATTCGCCTCAGCAAGGAACACCTTCTGAAAAATGGATTATATCCTAAGCCCATGCCAAAGAACAAACGCAAACTCAGGAAAATGGAACTGTTAATGAACAGCGTTAAAATTTAGTACAATTGTTCTTATGGTGCTAATTATGATGTCTTCAGCTGACATTACTTAGTTAAGTTTTCTTACAATTTAAGTCTGTGGGTTTTGACTATCTCTTTTAAAAGAATGAGAGTTACATACTAAACTTGCCCAGAAGAAGGAGGTAAACCAAAAAGCCATAGGAGCAAACAAAAACAATTTCACTGACCTAGTAAAAAGCAAGATTTTATACTATATTTGTTTTTAAAAATGTGCCTGTAATGCATTTTTTCAAATCCATAATTTGAAATGTCATTAGTTGTTGAGTTGGATAGGAAGTTGCTAGTTTATACAAAGAAGAAAATTGTTGTGCCCAATTGGGACAGTAGTGTTTCCATTAATGTTTATAAATAATTAGGTATGGACCTGTAATAAAGGATACTTACATTGATTTATAGTCTTGTACATAAACTTTATAGTTTGAAATAAACATCGTAGGGAAATAATGATTATCAAGTAGCTTAGATTGAAGTTAATCAATTTCATACAATAGTATAGGCATACCTCAGAGATACTGTGAGTTTGTTTCCAGACCATGGCAATAAAGTGAATATAGCATTGAAGTGAGTCAAATGAACTTTTTGGTTCCCTAGTGCATTTAAAAATTTTGTTTACACTGTACTTTATCAAGTGTGCAACAGCATTTTGTCTAAAAAAATTGACATACCTTAATTAAAATAGTTGATTTCCAAACAATGCTAACCATCATCTGAGCTTTCAGTAAGTCATAAAACTGATCACAGATCACTATAACAAATATAATTGAAAAAATTTTAAATGTTGCAGAAATTACCAAAACATAACATAGAGACACAAAGTGAATAAATGCTAAATGCTGTTGGAAAAAGGCACTGATAGACTTGTTTGATGTAGGGTTGCCACAAGCCTTCAATTTGTAAAAAACACAGTGTCTTTGAAACCCAAAAAAGTGAAGCACAATAAAATGCAATATGCCTGTATAACAATAAGGAAACTAAATATTCTTTGGGGACTCAACTTGAACTCAGCTAATGTAATTTGAGTGTTCTTTACATTGCCCTAATTTTTTTATTGAGGTATAATTGACATATAACATTATGTTAGTTTAAGGCAAAGAACATCATGATTTGACATTTGTCAACACTGCAAGATTATCACAATAAGTCTAGTTAACATGGTGACAACAAAACTTTTTCTCATGATGAGAACTTTTAAGATACCCTTTCTTAGCAACTTTCAAATATGCAATACAGTATTATTAACTATTGTTACCATGTTATACCTTACATCCACATGACTTACTTATTTTATAATTGGAAGTTTGTATCTTTTGACCCCTTCACCATTTGCTCCCTAGCAGTCCCTGCCTCTGGCAGCCACCAATCTGTTCTCTGTGTCTGTGAGCATGTTTTTTCTTAAGATTCCACATATAAATGATATCATATAGTATTTGTCTATCTAGCCTATTTCACTTAGCACAGTGCCCTCAAGATCCAAATATGTTGTCACAAATGTCAGGTTTTATTCTTTTTATGGCTGAGTATATTACCCTGTTTAACACATTTTCTTTATCCATTCATCCACTGATGGACACTCAGGTTTGCTTCCATGTCTTGGCTACTGCAAATAATGTTGCAATGACATGCGGGTGCATTTTTTCAGTTAGTGTTTTTATTTTTATTTTTGGATAAATACCCAAAAGTGGAATTGCTGGATCACATGGTAGTTCTGTTTTTAATTTTTTGAGGAACCTTTATGCTATTTTCCATAGTGGGTGCAACAATCTACATTCCCACCAACAGTGCACAAGGATTCCCTTTTCTCCATTTCCTCACCAACACTTGTGATTTCTTGTCTTTTTAATAATAGCCATTCTAACAGGAGTGAGATGATATCTCATTGTGGTTTTGATTTGCATTTACCTGATGATTAGTGATGTGGAGCATCTTCTTATGTATATTTGCTGGCTGTCTATATGTTTAGAAAATGTTTATTTAAGATCCTCTGCCATTTTTTATTGAATTATTTGCATTTTTTTCTCTGCTATAGAATTATATGAATACTTTATGTATTTTAGATATTAACCTCCTATCAGATACATGATTCGCAAATGTTATCTCCAGCTTGGTAGGTTGTCTTTTCATTTTATTTATGATTTTCTTTGCTGTGCAGAAGCTTTTTGGTTTGAAGTAGTCCCACTTGTTTATTTTTGCTTTTGGTGTTAGATCCAAAGCATCATTGCCAAGACTGTTGTCAAGAAAATTATTGCCAATATTTTATAGCTTTGGGTCTTACGTTCAAGTCTTTAATCCATTTTGAGTTAATTTTTATGTATAGTATAAGGTAGTGATCCAGAGTCATTCTTTACATGTGGCTGTCCAGTTTTCCCAGCACCATTTATTGAAGCGACTGTTATTTCCCCATTGCATATCTTGGCTTCTTTTCATAAATTAATGGAGGATATATGTGTGGGTTTATTTCTAGGCTCTCTATTCTGTTCATTGATCTGTGTGTCTATTTTTATGCCAGCACTGTACTGTTTTAATTGCTATAGCTTTGTAATATAGTTTGAAACCAGGGCACATGATGCCTCCAGTTTTGTTCTTTCTCAAGAATTCTTTGGCTATTCACAGTCTCTTGTGGTTCCATGAGAATATTAGGCTTTTTTTTTTGTATTTCTGTGAAAAATGCCTTTGGAGTTTTGATAGGAATTGGACTGAATCTTTCTATAGATTGTGTAGCAGCCCTGATTTTTAAAGAGGTGCATGTAATTTTGAAGTAATATATATTTTCATTGTTAAGCACTCTGAATAAGTTTAGATTTTTCAGTATTCACTGAACAGGTTTATTAACTGTGATAAACTTGTTATAATGACATTTTCAAATGGAAATAACTGAAGTAGAATATAACACAATTGTAATTTTGAGAACATATTTCTGTAACTAGGGCTATTTAAATCTTTTTTAGTGGGTAAAAACTTTTAATTTGAAAGAATATATTTCCTCTATACCCCCTAGGAAGATACTCACTGAGATTTGTATAGAATGAGAGACATGTATACAATATTTATTTGTATCTAATTTTAATCTACTGCAGTTATGTACACATTTTGACAAGAAGAGGGGACTTTGTTTTGCCTCTTTATTATGTCTGGAGTTTCCTGGAGCCAGTCTGAAGTTGTAAGGAAAAACTAAACATATGATTTAAAAGTAAGCTTTAATATATACATATTTATATATGTATGTATATATATGTATACATGTACTTATGTGTATGTATGATACATAAACATACACTAATGGTTATTTTTGACCATTTTCATACTATTTATTTGTTTACTGTTGACTTGGATTAGACCCTTATTAAAAGCTTTAACACTGGTCATAATTGCAATTCTAATGAATGTTTGGGGAAACTATTTAGAAAATATTTTAAAATATTAAATGGAAGTTAGATTTCATCTTCTATTGTTGCTTTTTTTGGATTTAAAAACAAGTTAGTTCATTTATAATCTAAAACACCTAAAATCAAATGATTATTGAGGTATAAAAAAAGAAATAGTATGTAATAATGTATAATGGTTTCTTAACAAATGGGGTAAAATAATCTTGCAGCGATTGTTTTTATGTTTGAATTAAATTTATTAAATTTCCTTTATCCATTATTATTATTATTTTTTTAGAAAAGTTCCTACATAAGATACCATTTAAATCTTAAAATTGTACTTTAATTTGTGTTGATTTTTTAGAATAATCACTACTTTTATCTTTTAAATACAACATTTTAGGGTATTTTTTGAAACACTTATGAAAGCTTAAAATTTAGTGTTTTTGGAAATGCACATTTTTTAAAGTATCTGCAGTTCTCCAGATTATTTTACTGACCTCTTATTTTGCTTATTTGCATTAATGACCACTTAACAAGATCTTCTCTAGTACACAGTGCTTCGGTAGTAATAGTAACTTATTCTCAGTAAGCAATTTTAAAAACTATTAATATTTTTTTATAATAATTTTTTATATTAATATTTTTTATTTATTAAAAATTCTCAGAGATTGTAGTATTATGTGAGGTTTTTAATTGAAAATTTAATCTGGCTTTTGAAAATTATTACTTACTGTGTTAGTTGGCTTTTAAATCCAGATGCTTTATATTTGCATGATTTGTCTAGACTAGTTCAAGGTTTTGTGGATTTGTAGTTGATGGTAGGCCTTACATGTACACTCTAACTACAGTTTGATGTGGGATAGATTGTTTTTTGAATTATTATTTCAACCATGTAACTTGGGATAGTGTTCCCTTATACACAAGGTGAGTGTCTGTGGCCCATTTGTGTTGGGTTGAAAAGCACTGTGTAATTAATGACATTATTTTGAGAGTTTCTTGCACACATAAGTGTAAAGGGTTAGGAACTGCAGCATGTAACAAGTCACAGTGATTGGCCACGTTGTATAGCTTGGATTACAAGATCTCTTATGTGAAACGTGAGAGGTATATTAGGATAAATTATGTTCCTTCACTTTTAGGCTCCAAACGCAACTTTCCTTAGCCATGACCATTACAGTGTTAGGGTTTGTCCTGCTAATGGGTTTTAGCCCTGGACAAGTTCACTATGGATTCAATGAGACCAAAAAAAATGACAGTGAAATGTTCTTGGGGTGAAAGGGTTTTTACCCAATTTTATTCCCACAGTGGCAGGTCAGTCACCAGAATCCCGTCCGCCTCAGAACGAGTCTGCATGTAGCAAGCCGGTCCTGGTCTCTGCCTCTGGGCCTCTCTGCCCCCTGCAGCCGTCTCAGTCTCTGTCCTCGGAGCTGCCACCACTCCAGCCTCTACTCTCCTGCAACCATGTCACCCAGAGCACTGGGTGGAGCTCTTTATGTAGAGTCTAACAATGTATCACCCACACCTGCATAGTGAGCAAGTGGACCACTGCCAGGTGAGAATCCTGGCAATAGGAACCTTCACTTTCTCTACAGGGCTTTCCCCAAGATTTTAGGAGAAGGCCCTACACTACCACCATTGTTAGTGAATTATGTAGAAGAGCCCTTCTATATAACTTTTTCATTTTCTTCATTACATTTACATTTATTGCCCTAAATTGACTGTTTAAAAACATGATCATGGTGTTAGAGCCCTTTCCATCAAATGATCCTATCCACATTTTTGCAAATGGCAAGAATTCATTCTTTTTTGTGTGTCAGTAATATTCCATTGTGTGTGTATATGTGTGTGTGTATATGTATACACACACACGTACCACATCTTCCTTATCCATTCATGCACACATGGATGCTTAATTTGTTCCCTTATCTTGGCTATTGTAAACAGTGCTGCAGTGAACGTAAGGTTGCATATACTTTTCTGAATTATTGTTTTCATTTTCTATGGATAAATACCCAGAAGTGGAATTGCTAGGTCATATGGCAGTTCTAGTTTTAATTTTTTGAGGCACTTTCAAAACATTTTTAAAAGTACATCTGCCTCAGGATTATTTTCATCACAGATGTACTCCTCATTGATTTCACATATTAACAGCATTTACCTATTTCTGTCTTCAAATATGTTATTTACAAGGTGAAACATCTTTTATTACATTTTTTGTTTATATGTAATTTTCTGGAAAACACTAGATATGAAAAAGGCAGTAAGTTACAATATAGTAATCAGATTTTATAAGTGGAATTGTGTATTATTTTGGCCTTATTAAATAGTTCTGTTTCTAAAGTTCTTAATAGAATCAGTGAAAAAAACATTTTAAAATATAAACAAAAAAACCTTGATTTTGGGTCTAAAATGTAAGTTTCCCTTTCCTGGAATATCTACAATTATAAAAAGGAAACCAGTGTTTCAACATATTTTAATGTTTACTTTTTTAGTGACTCTCAAAACTCTTGCAAATTCAAATTCTCTGTGCAATCAATGGTAGATACTTGTACCATGACATATACAGTCCTTTTATATTCTATAAAAGGAAAATATCCATTT